GCGGCACCTCCGCAGCCGATAGTGGCGGCGGCAGAGGAGGCGGATGCTGCGGTGGCTGCGGCTGCGTCTTGCGTCGCCAGCCTCTCGACGAGACGAAGGTTGACCGCCTGCGGCAATCTCGCGCAATCTCGCGTGACCTCGCGCCATATCGAGTCATCTCGCGCAATCTCGAGTCATCTCACGCAATTATCCTGGCGCAATCTCGCGCAATCCCGGGGGACTTCGGGGGAGCTCGGGTGAGCTCGGGTGACCTCGCGCGATCTCGAAACCGCCCTCCAAATCTCTCAGCATCTCGCGGTACACTCTCAGGCGCTCATCTCGGCACAATCTCGGCACAATCTCGGCACAATCTCGGCACAATCTCGCTGCCTCTGCCACGGCGGTCGGCTCCGCCCCCTCGCCCCCCGCAATCAACAGCCTAACACCCGCGAGATCGTGGCGAGATGAGCCGAGATGAGCCGAGATCGGATCTCGGTAGATCTCGGCAGCGGCTAGCCCGGACGGAGAGGGCAGCAGCGTCGCGGTGCGCCATGCGAGGGTCGGCTGCCTAACAATTACCAATCCGCTAGCTCTCCATTCTCCCGGCATTCATTAAGCAATGGTAGCACCGGCTGCCTAACAATTACCAACCCGCTAGCTCTCCACTCTCCCGGCATTCATTAAGTAATGGTAGCGCCGGCTGCCTAACAATTACCACTCCGCTAGCTCTCCACTCTCCCGGCATTCATTAAGTAATGCGAGGGTCGGCTGCCTAACAATTACCACTCCGCTAGCTCTCCACTCTCCCGGCATTCATTAAGTAATGCGAGGGTCGGCTGCCTAACAATTACCACTCCGCTAGCTCTCCACTCTCCCGGCATTCATTAAGTAATGCGAGGGTCGGCTGCCTAACAATTACCAATCCGCTAGCTCTCCATTCTCCCGGCATTCATTAAGCAATGGTAGCACCGGCTGCCTAACAATTACCAACCCGCTAGCTCTCCACTCTCCCGGCATTCATTAAGTAATGCGAGGGTCGGCTGCCTAACAATTACCACTCCGCTAGCTCTCCACTCTCCCGGCATTCATTAAGTAATGCGAGGGTCGGCTGCCTAACAATTACCACTCCGCTAGCTCTCCACTCTCCCGGCATTCATTAAGTAATGGTAGCGCCGGCTGCCTAACGGAGCACAGCGGAATACGAGAGGGAGGAATGCACCAACCTCAGGGCGGGAGGACGGTGTCGTGCAGCGCACTCAGACAACGGAGAGGAGTCCAGTGACTACAGCGCGGAGCACAGCGGAATACGAGAGGGATGAATGCACCAACCTCAGGGCGGGAGGACGGTGTCGTGCAGCGCACTCAGACAACGGAGAGGAGTCCAGTGACTACAGCGCGGAGCACAGCGGAATACGAGAGGGATGAATGCACCAACCTCAGGGCGGGAGGACGGTGTCGTGCAGCGCACTCAGACAACGGAGAGGAGTCCAGTGACTACAGCGCGGAGCACAGCGGAATACGAGAGGGATGAATGCACCAACCTCAGGGCGGGAGGACGGTGTCGTGCAGCGCACTCAGACAACGGAGAGGAGTCCAGTGACTGCAGCGCGGAGCACAGCGGAATACGAGAGGGAGGAATGCACCAACCTCAGGGCGGGAGGACGGTGTCGTGCAGCGCACTCAGACAACGGAGAGGAGTCCAGTGACTACAGCGCGGAGCACAGCGGAATACGAGAGGGAGGAATGCACCAACCTCAGGGCGGGAGGACGGTGTCGTGCAGCGCACTCAGACAACGGAGAGGAGTCCAGTGAGAACAGCGCGGAGCACAGCGGAATACGAGAGGGAGGAATGCACCAACCTCAGGGCGGGAGGACGGTGTCGTGCAGCGCACTCAGACAACGGAGAGGAGTCCAGTGACTGCAGCGCGGAGCACAGCGGAATACGAGAGTGAGGAATGCACCAACCTCAGGGCGGGAGGACGGTGTCGTGCAGCGCACTCAGACAACGGAGAGGAGTCCAGTGACTACAGCGCGGAGCACAGCGGAATACGAGAGTGATGAATGCACCAACCTCAGGGCGGGAGGACGGTGTCGTGCAGCGCACTCAGACAACGGAGAGGAGTCCAGTGAGAACAGCGCGGAGCACAGCGGAATACGAGAGTGATGAATGCACCAACCTCAGGGCGGGAGGACGGTGTCGTGCAGCGCACTCAGACAACGGAGAGGAGTCCAGTGACTACAGCGCGGAGCACAGCGGAATACGAGAGTGAGGAATGCACCAACCTCAGGGCGGGAGGACGGTGTCGTGCAGCGCACTCAGACAACGGAGAGGAGTCCAGTGACTACAGCGCGGAGCACAGCGGAATACGAGAGTGAGGAATGCACCAACCTCAGGGCGGGAGGACGGTGTCGTGCAGCGCACTCAGACAACGGAGAGGAGTCCAGTGACTACAGCGCGGAGCACAGCGGAATACGAGAGTGATGAATGCACCAACCTCAGGGCGGGAGGACGGTGTCGTGCAGCGCACTCAGACAACGGAGAGGAGTCCAGTGACTACAGCGCGGAGCACAGCGGAATACGAGAGTGATGAATGCACCAACCTCAGGGCGGGAGGACGGTGTCGTGCAGCGCACTCAGACAACGGAGAGGAGTCCAGTGAGAACAGCGCGGAGCACAGCGGAATACGAGAGGGATGAATGCACCGACCTCAGGGCGGGAGGACGGTGTCGTGCAGCGCACTCAGACAACGGGTAGGAGTCCAGTGACTACAGCGCGGAGCACAGCGGAATACGAGAGGGATGAATGCACCACCTCAGGGCGGGAGGACGGTGTCGTGCAGCGCACTCTAAAGCACCGCGTGGAGACAGCGGAGAAGAAGACAGCGGAGCAGCAGTGCAGTGGAGTAACAGTGACGAATACCTGTTCCAGCGTACTGACAACGGAGAGGAAGACAGTGCAGTGGAGTGGACTGCAGTGGAGTACAGTGATGAATACTGTTTCAGCGTCTAGGGCCGGCTGCCACGACGCCGCCAGCTCGGCCACCTGCCAGGAGAGGGGACGAGATTGTCCGAGATTGTCCGAGATGGCACGAGAGGGGCATGCGAGGAGCCGAGGTGGCCCGAGGAGAGCCGAGATCGTCCGAGATCGTCCCAGCTTCTCCGAGCCTCTCAGGCGAGATCACCCGAGATTACCCGAGATTACCCGAGATTACCCGAGATTACCTGAGATTTCCCGAGACTGTCCGAGATTGCCCGAGACTGCCCGAGATTGCCCGAGATTGTCGTCGCCTGATGCGCCACGCGATCGCCGGCGCGAGCCTGCGGTTCACAGCGAGATAGCTGTGAAGAGACGAGACTGCTGTGAAGAGACGCCGTGACGGCAACGAGGCGCAATCTCGTCGCATCTCGTCAGATCTCGTCCAATCTCGCGCAAACTCGACCTCGCATCATCCAAGGGGCGATCTCGGGCCAATCTCGATCTCAATGCAATCTCGACCTCAAAGGGCGAGAGGTGGGGGATGCTGCCTCTCAATCTCGCACAATCTCGATCTCGATGCAATCTCGACCTCTGAGGGCGAGAGGTGGGGGAGGCTGCCTCTCAATCTCGCACAATCTCGATGCAATCTCGATGCAATCTCGACCTCTGAGGGCGAGAGGTGGGGGACGCTGCCTCTCAATCTCGCACAATCTCGATGCAATCTCGATGCAATCTCGACCTCAAAGGGCGAGAGGTGGGGAAGGCTGCCTCTCAATCTCGCACAATCTCGATCTCAATGCAATCTCGACCTCTGAGGGCGAGAGGTGGGGGAGCCTGCCTCTCAATCTCGCACAATCTCGATGCAATCTCGACCTCTGAGGGCGAGAGGTGGGGGAGGCTGCCGAACTGCTCGTCTTCGCCCGCCGCCGCTGCTGCAGCTGCAGCCGCTGCCTCCGACTCGTCCTCTCGCCTGTTCACAGCTGCAGGTGTGAAGAGACGCCGTTCACACCTCCAGTCCTCCAGCCTCGTCCTCCTCGCCTGTTCACAGCCGCAGGTGTGAAGAGACGCCGTTCACACCTCCAGTCCTCTGCCCGCGTCCTCCTCGCCTCGGCGCAAAGAGAGGACACGGCCACTGCTGCTCCTCCGCCTGTTCACGGCAGAATCTCGTCCAATCTCGTCCAATCTCGTCCGATCTCGTCCAATCTCGTCCAATCTCGTCCGATCTCGTCCAATCTCCGCTAACCTGCAGCTGCTCCCGCCTCCTCCTCTCCCTCGCCGCCAGCCGCTCCGGCGCCTAGAGATGCGGAGATTGCGCGAGATTCGCGGGGAGATTGCGGGAGATTCGCCGAGATCGGACGAGCTTGGACGAGATTGGAGTCGC